TCAGCAAAAACTTTATTCAGTTCATTCAGAAAACTGAATAAATTGACAAAACAAATTTGCAATTTTACATGTATCAAAAATACAGGTGATATTTATAATAGTAGCTTACAGATATAAATTAAGTATAAGCTTCCATTTTATAGAGGATTGTAAACATTTTGCACACTAGTCAGTCCTTTCTTTTAAGCAAAGTGCTCTTCTGATGACAGATAAATTAAGATATATACTATTGTGAACTATTTCAGACAATACAAAGCATTTTTTGATTGCTTTTTGTCTTGTAAATGAAAGCTTATCATTTATAATCTTTTTTCTTTTCTTTTCTTTTTTTTTTTTTGTGTGTGCTTGCCAGACAGACAGAGACAGAGAGACAGAAAACGAGAAATCACCCCCTGGGGGGATGGCCATGCCGCAATCCCTTCTCCTCCATTCTCCTCTCGGGATCTTGGGCACGCACGCACACGCGCCCGGCGTGAGTGTTAAGCCACCGGGTCCGGGACGAGAACTGCAGTTGACTACGTGGGAGTCCAGCGACATAGCCATTACACTAACTGCTGGTTCCCTACAATGTATATCTTTTAAAGTCTGGCTCATTTTGCTCAATGTTAAATCTTCTATATCATCCATTTTCAGTCTAATGATAGAATTTCACAATTTTTCAACCCAATCATCAGCTTTTGGACACTTAGATTGGTTCCATGTTTTAGCAATTACAAATAATTTTGCGATAAATATAGGTGTGCAGATATCTTGCTGAATGAGTGTTTTCTTATGCTTTGGGTAGATATCAAGAAGTGGAATTGCTGGTTCATATATATTGAAGTTTTATTTGTAGGTTTTTGAGAAATCTCCATATTGTTTTCCACAGAGGTTGGACTAATTTACATGCCCACCAACAGTGTAAGAGACTTCCCGTTTTGGGGCCAGTGGGTGATGTGGTGGTTAAGGCACTGGAATCCCACATGGCCGACTGCAGTTCGAGTCCTGAACCTGGCAGCTTCCTTTCTCACTTTCCCTTTCTTTCTCTGTCTCTTTCTCTCTGTCGTCAAAATTAAAATAATATATAAATAAATACATAAAAAGAGAGAGTTCCCTTTTTGACACAGCTTCACCAACACTTACCATTCTTTATTTTTCTGATCCTAGCCATTCTAACTGGAGTGATATCTGATCACTGGAGTGATATCTGATTGTAGTTTTAATTTGCATTTCCCTTATGATTAGAGACTTTGCACATTTTTTCATATGGCTCTTGGCTATTTCTAAGTCTTTCTTAGACAGTTGTCCAATTAATTTGCCCATTTTTAAACTGGAGTATTTAGGGGCCGGTAGGTGGTGTTAAGGGCATTGGACTCCCACATGGCCAACTGTGGTTTGAGTCCCAGTCCTGGTGGGTTGCTTTCTTTCTCTCTCTCTCCCTCTGTCCGTCTCTGGTCAAATTAAAATGGATAAATAAATAAATAAAGTTAAATAAAAAATAGTTCAAAATATTAAAAAATAAATTGGAGAATTTATTTTTTTATGGGTGAGCCACTTGCGTTTCCTATATATTTCTAGATATCAATCCCTTATCTGAGAAATAATTTGCAAATATTTTCTCCCATTCCAAGTGTTGCCTTTTTATTTTAGTTATAAGTTATTTTGCTGTGAGGAAACTTTTAGCTTGATGTAATCCCATTTGTCTATTTTAGGGACCATTACCTGTGCTTTAGGGATCTTATTTAAGAAATGTTTGCCTACTCTAATGTCTTCAAAAGTTTCCCCTACTAATATGTTTTTTAAGCCGCAAGGTCCTGGACTCAACTATGTGGGATCCAGCTGCTTTAACCACTATGCCATTGCCTACAACCCCCCCCCACCCATGCCTTTATTCTTTTTAGAGAAAGAGAGAGAGAACACCTTCAACAGAATCTTGATACCATGATCTACCCCTGGCCTCAGCCATCCCTAGACTATGGGATGTGAACCCAGAACCTTCCCACGTGGGTCAGACATCTTGCAGAGCATCTGGTTTTACTGCTGTGCCACTGTCAACTCTGACATCTTAACTAGAATATATTGAATTTCTGATCCTTGAACATATTTACCAGAGGACTTCAAATATTCATGGGAAAATGAAAGTATAAATTTATCTGGGTGTGAAATGACTTGAAATCCACATTTTGAAATATGCATTTTTTCTGGTGGTGTGGTGGTTAGTGGTGCTGGATTCCCACATGGCCAACCGTGGTTCGAGTCCCAGACCTGGTGGGTTGCCTTCTCACTCTCTCTGTCCCCCTCTGGTCAAATGGAAATAAACAAATGAATGAATAAATAAATAAAGTTAAATAAAACAATTCTTCTTTAACTTTATTTATTCATTTATTTTGACCAGAGAGACACACAGAGAGCGAGAGAGAAAGTGAGAAAGCAAGCCGCCAGGTCCAGGACGCGAACCGTGGCTGGACATGTGGGAATGTCCAGCGCCTTAACCACTATGCCGCCTGCTGGTCCCTAAAATAATTCTTAAAGAAATATGTATTTTTCCATGAACTTTTTTGAAGACTCCCCCTACACACATACACGCATTTGCTTTGGTTTCTTCCATCAGGGATTTCAAAGTAGTTTTAGTGTAGAGGTCTTGCACATCCTTTGTTAGATTTACTCCTAGGTGTCTGATGTCCTTAGGTTATTGAACACGGTGTTTTGACTGATGGAGGCAGACAGAGAGAGTGTTTTTGACAGGGTTTGTGAAGTCCCATCCTCCTGCCCCAGCTTCCCAGTTAGCTAGGATTACAGGTCCAGGACGCTGGCTATGCCCACCCTGTTTAGGTTGGCCCAGGACTGAACGGGCCTCCCAGGCAGCCCCAGCCTTGCAGAGGGACACTACCGTTCGAGCCACCCCTGCTAAGCGGTTAGATGGTGTTCTGTGATGTCTTATGGTCCGCTGTGTCGCTAGTGCTTAGAAACACAATCAGCTTTGGTATATCTGCTTTGTCTTGCAGCCTTGTTTATTAGGTCGAGAGGTATTTGGAGAGGTTTTTGCCATAGGGCGGGCGAGTTTTAAGCCACCGAGTCTGGGACTCAAACGCGGTCGACTACATGGGAATGAAGTGACATAGCTAGCCATTACGCTAACTGCTGGTCCCGAGATGACGGTTTTGTTTGGTGGATTGATCTCTAAGGCCCTGCCACTCCGGACTTCATGATGCAGATGGTGATAAGGCTTCTATGGAGAAAAAAGAATGAGGATTTATACTGAACAGTGTTTAATTTATGCAGTCTCGGCCCCACCCTAAACTCATTCAAACTGAATCTTGGGTGGCAGAGGCATCCGGTATTTTCGGAGTTCCTGGGAAGGTTCTGAAGTGCAGTTGGGAACCTGTAATTTAGGCTACGCCAGGCGGCAGGCGCAGACCCAAGGACGCGCTCACCTGCGGGCTCTGGGCGGGCCGACCCGCGCTGCGCACCTGGGGTCCGTGGGCGTGTCTGGGCGCCCGCCAAGCCGCCCTTCCCGCCTTGGGGGTGGGAGTTCCGGGTTCCCTCCTAGGTCCGGGCGGGTGGAAGGGTAGCACCCCACTTACCGGCACTAACCGCCGCCCTTTCAACAAATAGGCGGCAGTAAACGGCGTCAGGGCCAGGACACACCTGCTCACCTTGGGTGAACAGCCCTGGGCACACCACAGCAGGCGGCGCTAGGCTGCCCTGGTCCGACCCCGCGCATCGCGCCTTTCAGGTACACGGAAATCAAGGAGGAGCTGGAGGAGCTGGACCGCATCACCGAGCAGAC